AATCAGTGTTGTACCAATGACATGTAAACAAACCGACTGGCGTTTTTACAGGAAATAGTGCTTTTTGCGTTCCCGTGCACTTCTGCATCTGTTCTCCTTTTACTCTCATTTGAGAGCGTAAAATTGTAGTTTGACAGTTCCACAGGTTTTAGTCCGAAGTTCAAAGGAACAGACTAAATATGTGTCAAGAGGTACATTACAAAGCGAAATTCCTTTCACACTCCTATGGGACCTAATATTTTGAAGAGGGCTGCCACCTGTTTGAAAGGTCTAACTCAATTAACTAATACAAAAAGTATATGAAATATAAAAATACCGTAGTCAAATTAAGGAATTTTAAGAAGTCTTTAGTTTGACCATTTGAAATTTTCGAAGAGGGTTGTCGCGTGTTTAAAAAGATACATTAAAATTATATATTTATATAGGAGGGTTGCCTTTAGTTCGAAAAATAAAATTCAAATTTATTCATCAGTTTATTGAAATACATGTGTATCATAATGTCAGATGAAAGACATTTAAGAAGATCTTAGTTTAGGAATACTTTTGAAAAAGAGTTTCCTGTAGATGTGTGGTAAAGTTTTAATTTTTTTTTTAATTAACTTTTTTCATCGGTATAGGGGATTTTTTGTCGGCCGCTGTGGTGTAGTGGTAAGCAGTGCGCGCTTTCACTCACCAGCACCTGGGTTCAAGCCCGGGTCAAAGCAACATCGGAAAAAATTTAGAAAAAGGTTTTTCTTAACAGCGGTCGTCCCTCGGCAGGCAATGGCAAACCTCCGAGTGTATTTCTGCCATGAAAAACAGCTTCACAAAAAAATACAATCGCCGTTCGGAGTCGGCGTAAAACTGTAGGTCCCTTCGCTTTGTGTGACAATATCAAGGTGCACGCCACAAGTTGGAGGAGAAGCTCGGCCAAACACTAACATATGTGTGTGTGTGATTTGAAATTTGAAGAAATTAAAAACATGCACTATGCCAGACTGCTCTTCACTAGCACTCGGATCTCTTATAACTCTGACTAAGTTTAGGAACATTTTTTAAGTTTTGGGCGTTTTAACGCCATGCGGGTTCTCTAGTTGTATATAAGCTGTCAACTTTTTTTTAGAATAAACGTGCTTGTGGCCGTATGTATGTAAATACTGAAGCTTAAAGTTTTACATTTCTAGTGGCGTTGTCTACTTATGTATGTATGTATTTGTAAAAGCGTAGTCTACATAAGAGTAGTTTCATTTACCAATTTAATGAGGCTCAAAGGTTGAACTAATTAGCGAATGAAACATATCGTTCGCGTTTGTTAAAAATGAAAATCAAAGTTAAAGTTACGCGTCAAAGTAAGAGCCTTCGGCATGAAATGCGCGAAACCGTAATTGAGAACTTTTTCGCCATTGACGAAGGAAAATACATTCATACAATTACAAAGCTTGTGAATAAGGATACTACATAACTACATATGTTTGTATGTTTATCAGAAAATAATGTATCAGTAATGGCTAATTCAAAATATGCTCACAAAACAAGGACAATCCGTGCTTTGGGCCTCAGGATACTGTGTTTGTTGGTAATTGAAAAAACGCATAAGTAAGAAATTGATTCCAGGCCTTGTAAGACCCTAAAGCAGGGATCATACGAGGTGTATGTACATTTGTAAATATTTGTAAATTTTCTCCGTAACCTAGTGGTATTGTTTGGAATGTTGTTATTGAGCTGAACTCATTCTTGATGAAAGTTTTTACGAAGACAACAGCACTCTGTGACCGCCAAATGTACAAATGTACAAATCGTGTGATCCCTGCTTAAGTCTGCGTATGTACTGAACTCAAGTACATGTAAAAAGATAAATATGTGTGACCGTATGTTCTCTGTACTTATAGAAAACGAGACTCTTAGTCAAAATCCTTTCAGGTTACGCATACGCCCCAGCAGGCATAATTGTACTCCAGAGGCGACATGAGAGAGCTGCCGTTGTTCTACATGTGAGTGTCGGGAATTAAAAATAATAATTCTTACTTATAATAAGGGAATGAGAAAATGGAACATAATTGCATATAACGCGCTTTTAAAACACTCCTTTGACAAGTGGAACAAAAATGGCGGCAGTTACTGAAAGCCAGCCCAGGCTGTGACGGCGAAGTTGCGGCCGGGGCGGAAGAAATAGTCAGAATGAATGGAAATCAAGTTAATTATGGTTCTCTTCATGTACAAAATTGACAGCGCGTTTGTGTGAATGTTTGTGTGTGTGTGTGTGTGTGTGTGTGTGTATGTATGTGTGTGTATGTGTGTGTGTGTGTGTGTGTCTGTGAACCTGCATAATCATATTAATTCGTCTGTGCGCTGAATATTTAATATAACGGTTATAAGTAAGCATGCAAATTGAAATTGAAAATGTTTTTTTTTTTTTGTTGCTTCGAGCGCATTGAAGTTTACATAGTATCATTTCATTGTTTACACCAAAATGCAAATACATAATTAATTTTCATTAATTAGTATTTAAATGTTGGTAAATACATTGCGCATACACGCGCCTACAGTTGTATGTATGTATGTATTTAAGTATATTAACGTTTCAAATTTACAAAAATTAGTAGAGTGGCAAATTAAACTAAAATGTTATGAAATAAAATTCATCTAAAGCGGGCGCTTATTATCAGCTAAATACATTCAGCATTATGTAAATATATTTGCTTAAATGTTATTCAACTCTTTTGCCATTAATCGTTTAGAATGCTGCTGTTGGTGTTGTAGTTGTACCGATTGCGTAAAATGTTGCTCTATTTATGTAGATATAATTTGTTGTGCCGAGTGAGCAGTGACTGGTTGGTTAAACTGTGATTTCTGTTATGTATTTTAGATAATTAGTGCGCATTGAGAGAATTGCCAAAACTAATTTGTTTAAACGGTGAAATATTTAATTACAACTATTTGCTTGTGCGTATGCGGGTGCGTGTCGGCATTTATTTGTGTAGATACATTTGGATTTACATATATTTCAATTTAGATTGAAACAAATCAACGGATTATCGCTCGCAGCTTTGACAGTACAGTTAAATGTATAGGGTGATTCGTGATGATGTAGATCTTTTACAGCAATTATTTGTGATACGTTAATGTTGCTTTCATTATTTTGTTTTTATCAGGCAATTGGTACTACGGTAGGGCTACCAGACGGCGTGGTTTCCTGGTTCTCATTGTATTCCCGTTTAGGCCGCTCTCCCCATCCGTTTGCTTCCGTTTTTTTCGTTTGCGGGAACATTTTTCACAATACATTTTGTTCTTGTGCAGAACTAAACCAAAACCTACCTACGAATTGTTCCACAAAACTACATTTTTTATAATGAATATCAGAATTTACTCCAAAATAATGAAACGCCGGAACCACAGCAACTGTACTTACAAGGAATATATAGACACCATATTCACTTGTATCTTCGATTTTGATTTGGGTTATAAGGATGCCGGTGGATGGGTTCAGGCTTATGGCAGCCCTTTACTACCGGCTTTGTCAAATTTAGTGATGGAGCCATACTTATTTAAAATGTGCGTAAAAATGATTCAAATGTTCTATGAAAATGCACATTCTGAAAGAAATACATTTCGCACTTTGCGCGATTTTTTCGGTCAACATAACTAGTCATCTAACAATCAGCCGTTGTTGCGTTTTATATATGTATCAAAGATAATCTGCGTTCCTAATAAATCACCCTGTATGCATTGGCAAAGTGTTACGTTAATAAATATGTAATTAAGACTGGGTGTAGCTAAATGTTAGAACTAGTAAACAATCATGGCCTCTTACGCCTTCTATTTTCTCTCTCGTCATGACTCGGCTACACTTCAAATCATTAAAATCATCAAAACTAATTTTGCTTATTTGCTATGCAGAGCAAATACGCTTTGCCGATGAACCGTTTGCACATTTTAATGAAGTTCAAGTAAATATCTGGGGAACATGTATTCGCTTCAGCAGCAACGCAATTGATGTTTATCGTAATTAGTAATATATATGTATGTAAGTGATTTCTTTTTGTAGTCGGGCAATCATTACGAAAACGCACACAAATCTAGGTAAATACTTGGGAATTGTTAAAAGCAAGAAATTTTTGCTCACTGATCTTGCAGCAGCATACATATTCCCCAAAGAGTTTTGGGGAATGCTACTAGAGTGACAGTCCTTGGCCAGATATACATCTGGATGGTTACGGTTACGTAGCCCCGACTGTCGTGGGAATTCCCATGTTAAAGCCCGATTTAAACCTGTATATTTAGCGTTCAATTAATAAAGAAATCAGGATTTTAGCCGAAATTTCCAGGCGGACACTTTTAGAATTTCGCGTGCTTTAGGTTAGGTTAGATTGGAATAGTTGGAGAATAAAACCTCTCAATACATCTTGATTTGGAATAAAACGTGTTGTAAATTTGTTATATGTACTTCTACATATCGACCCCTTTGCCCAAAATTATCGTAGATATGTTACATTTTCCACGAAATTCATTTTTTGATGTAACTTTTTTTACACCCCATAACGCATCACCTGTTCCAATATTACGGCTTAAATCCCAATAGCTACCCCAAATATTGACTGTAAATTTTATCGTATGTGATAATAAATTCTTTCTTGTGCGCGAAAGTATCATACGTGCTAAGAAATTAGAACGTGAAGACTTTTCTACAAAAAAATGTGCTAGCCAAACAGTAATATACGATAATTTTGCGCAAAGGGGTCGATATATTCTTGCAACGGCAATAGTCCAGTGCACTGTGCTTGCGAATTCGTCAGTCTCACTACCCCGTCAAATCCCAATATCTACGCCATTCAGTAAGGCACTTTACACTGTCTATGAGAGCTTAAAACTCTCACAGCTGATTTTAGGACATTTGTGAGCGTTCGAAGATTTCTGATCACTGTGGATTTCATTGGTATAGGCACCCAACTACATAAATAAAATAATTATCCAGTATACTCTCTTGGGACAGGATCCACCTGATATAATTTTAGTTGACGTAACTTATCTCTTTTCTCAGTATATAGGTATGTGTATAATTTTTGCTTTCAATATTTACACTACTTACATACTGACATACATCCGTTATTTCTTTACAGATTTTTGCATTTATTCATAAGATCGCCAAAAGCAACATTTATTTTCGTTTACAATACCATTGAAAAGAATCGGCTCGGGTAAGTTTCTGCTCGTACAATCATGGGTGTGTTCAGAAATGCATCAAGCCAAAGCATCATACGCATTTATTTCTAAACTATAATTGATGGAAATATCCAATATGCGCAACCACGGCTAAATGCCCAATTGGAACCTAGTTGCGTAATTAAGGCACTTCCATCAATTATAGTTTAGAAGTACAAGAGGCTGATGCCTTCGCTTGATGCATTTCTGAACGCACCCCTTTTTCTTTCTTATTCCCGAGTACGCTCGCTAAATAAACAATGAATTATGTAATAAACATACATATCGATGGTACTCTGCAAAAGCGACTCACTCAAAATTCCCTGTATTAAAGTTATAGGCCTCTATTATGAGTTACATTCGATCTTCGGCTGTGGTCGAAAGTGCTGATCGAACGAATTTTAATTTGATATTATGACTCTCATACGATGAAGAATAGCGCTGTGAATTTTATACATTTAGGTTGTTCGCAATATTATATTTTCCATTAATGAGAAGCTTTGTTTACAAATCGAGCAAACTAAATAGTGTGCATGTACATATTTATGTAAATTTGTCCAAATTAAAATGAAGTTAAAAAGAGAGCGAGTTTATAAAAATGTGGTAAAAATTAGTACAGCGGAGTTCTGGTTCGACGATTCATCAGCAGATGAGAGCATAGTAAACTGGCCAGGAGTAGAAAAGGTTTAAGTGGAGCCGAATATTCGAATATATTTTTACATAAGAATCAGCCTCATTGCGTAAGTCGTAAATTAGGCTGAATTGTACGACTCGACAACATTAGCATTGTGTACTGTCGTGCTGAAATAAGTAAACGACGAAATTTGTCGAAAACTATGCAGTGCTGCCAAGTTCTTCCGTTTTAATACACTAGTCGAGTGGAAATTTTAAGCAATGACGCTAAATTTTCGATACGATTCGACTCTCGAAAAACGACTTGCATTCGGCACGACTCTCGCAATGAGGCTGAATATATTTAGGAAATTCGTCTACATATTTATTAGAAACTTCCGACTGTCTAAAGAAGCGTTTGTAGCGTTTTTTCATTATTTTCCTACACTTGGCTACGGCATCGAAAGCAAAATTTTGTTTGACAGAAAATTCGATATTCAACGAAATTTTCGACTCGGATGCATAGCTCATAATACGAATTTCATAGTTGATCTTCGCTCTTCGATAACCAGCGAAGTTCGAAAATCGAATGCAACTTATAATAAGGGTAAAGTTCATCACCAAGCCTTTATTTAGAAGAAAAGAATTTAGAAACAGCAAAAAAATTACCTGACACTAATACTTGGTAGATCAGCCTTAATTTTTAATAATTGCCTCAGCTTTTCTAGATCACTGCCAGGTGTCGAATTCACGTATAAGTTTTGAGTTGCCTCTGTATGAAACACTACCGGTTTTCAGGATTTTAGCTTGGTTGCGATGGAAGGGTGACTTTTGGCCATTTAAAGAATATTTGTTTGAAGGACAAACTTTATATACTCAATAATAAACAGTCAACTAGTAAAATGATCAAATAATTCTTATCGTAACGTATGCTAAAAGCCGTTTTTGATGCTTAACGAGTACTGTAACAGTTAACGTCAGAACTTTTGGTTCTGGGTTGTTTGCTGAAAAAAAACTTGATTTAATTATGTGAAAGAAAAGTTTGAGATACCATCATGCAATTGCTATGCGTTAATATAATTGAATATTTGCGTTGTCCTGTCTCCACTTAATTTAACTGTATTTTTTACAAACTAATTAAGTAGAATTCAAAACAAATCTTAAATGATTTTGTGACGCGATTAAATTACAGTAAATTGGTTCACATCCGCAAATGTTTGCGTAGATAAATTAGCCACTTATAAACTACCCAACAGGAAAAGAAACTCGGGGACGATCAGTAACTGGTTAATGATATGCATCCCTACTTCACTGCTCCCGTATAAAGACACATAGCAGAAAAACGATATGCTCTATAAAAAGTGCCACAAAAAAAAAAAAATTAAAAATAAAAATCGTCGCAATTTTTAGTTGAAGCTTGCACTTGATCAGACTAAATTTATATGGGCTATTAAACTGTATTGATGAAAATTTGTTGAATTTTGCAAGTGATGAATAAAATTATGTGATATATTTTTTATATTTAGTCAAATGCGGGCAAGAAATATAATTTTTCATGCAATTATTGATATGAAATATTAATTTATCTCTCGTTAGTATGTTAATTTAGTGGCCAAAGTATTCGCTGTCAAACGTCCATGTCAAAGCCAACACGAAAGATCTATGTGAACCGGCCTTAACTGCCGTCCCTAAATTGGAGCGCTAGGCGTTGCGTTTTCCAACGCTATACCCAAACAACGCTGCTTAATATTTGACGTTTTCTCATTTCCTCCCGTTTCTTCCTTAACTATTTTGTCCCTCTCTCTTTCTTTCTGTCCCCTGCACCCAACTTCAGAACATAGCGCCCTGTCAAAAATGAAAATACCATTTGCTCGGCGCTAGCATCACGTTATTGTAGGATGTTTCATGCAAATTGTATGGGTATGAGGATTTTGGACAGTACTTCGGCGCTTGACGCGCCAAATTTAGGGCCGCCAGTAAGTGTAAGGTTGCGTCTCGAAATACGTTTTACTCCTTTTTTCTTCTGGTGTTTCTAGCAGGGAAACTCTATACCACAACTTATTTTTCGCTTGCGTGCGCTTTTTACGTCTACGCACTTACATACTCTTTGTTTAAAAATTTTTTTTTAAGCTTGAGCATCCGTTATTCTGTCGTACGTGAAATCAATGAATGAGAAAGTAGCACTGAAAAATGCTAGTTAATCGAATATTACAATTTGCAAAAAAAAAAAAATTTACATATCAATAATGAAAATACATAATAAATGAGCCAAATTATAAAAAATGTGTGTAATTCAAAATTAATTAATTAAGTCTCATACATACTTTCGCACGAATAAACACACACACTGGCACACATGTTTGCATAAAATACTCGTCGGTGGCTCTGTGATGTAGTGAATTGTGAAGAGTTCAACAATGCGAGTTCAGTTCGTGGCTGAGTTGCAGGTCGGGCAAGCTCGGGCAACAAGTGGAAAATTAAATTTAAATATGACAATTAAATAAAAGACCACAACACACTTGGACACGTAGCATTGTCCGCTAGTTTTTACATAAGTATTGTCATTGTTGTAAGTGTGTGGGTTTACGCTTATTTTTCGATTACTTATTTGTAATGGCCTTTAATTAGCGAATTTAAATTCATTTTTGCTACACCGATTTTAAATACTACGTTTTTGTTTCGGGTACTTTAAAAGTCACACATTCTGGCCTCATTGAGGTTTCACTGAGGTGGGCAATGTGACGGTAAGTTCCAAGGATATAATGCGACTCTGTATAGAGTAGACCAGAACAGTTTTTAAAGTTTTGATTGATTTCATCCTTCGAAGGTATTTTTTACCTTCGATATAGATATCAGATACTAACCCTATGCCAGTTTTGGAGGCATCTGTAAAAATTTGAAAATGTATGAAAAGTCCAGGCTTGTCGGTGGTTTTAAAGCATCACTCAGCATCTGGCAACTGAACATTGTAGACCCCGCTCAGAAAAGGTAATAGTGGCGCATTATACGGGGGCTTTGGAAAGAGATAGAAGTTCGTTCTAGTTTTGGTTGAGTCAATGGAAAACCCATTCCCAAACATGTAAAAAATAATTCTTTATGGGAGAAGGTTTTTCCTATAGCCAACATAATCCGACAAAATTTTGGCACTGCCTTTCCTAGGTATGGAAATAACCGCAATAACTGGATTTCCTAGGCTTCTTCAAAACCTGTTCATAAATAAGTTTTTCTTTTGTCTTCGAAGAACAAAGTTATGGGTATCGGAAAAAATTTAAAAGCCGTTGAAATTTTTTTTTTCGAGCAGAGCACAATCGACGATTTTGGTCTTTGGTGTGATCACCATTAGCTAGTTCGTCGAAATTGAAAAACAACTAAGACTGAAGAAAGCCTTTCCGATGAGCTATAAATTTATTTGCAAAGTCTGGCAAGTCGGTTTATTGAAAACCCTCTAGAAATATGGGCCGATTACAAAATGCAGTTTCCGAAATAGTGCAATATAGTGTACAAATACTTGACCATAAATAGTAGTCATTTCCGTGCCTTCTGAAAGGTTTTTTTCAAATGTGAAAAGCAAATATTTAAACACATCTATTTAACTTAATTATGATCCGATCGAAATCAAGCAATTAATTAGCAACTGTCGACTATTTTATGTTTTTATGTAATGCGATTTTAGTTCGATAGCGCTCTTTTAGTTAGGTGACGTAATAAAACCCAAAAACAATGACTTGTATGAAAATCACGATATCATCCTCATTTCAATAGAATTATTAAAGCTTTTGACATTTATTATTGTGCTGTGCACTCTTGCAGCTGCATTATTTATTATTGTTAATTGTTTTTTTTTGTTGTTGCTGTTTTCATACTTCAATATTCTTATGCAATTTCGTGTATGTTCGTGTTGTGGTTTCGCCTGATTGTAGCGTGCATTACATGGCATTCTCCAATAAAGAAGTTAACATTGATTAACAAATTGATAATTGTGATTGTGTTTGTGTTACAACGCTATAAAAAGTGCTTCTGAAAATTTGATGCCAGTAATACTAAGAATGAAGAAAAAATCGGGGACTTCCACTGAATTTCCTCTTTCATTTGGTACCCATATTGATATTCTACATATGTACCTTGCACGGAATTTTTAAAATAATATTTTGAATTAATGATAGCTTTAAATTTCAAAGTCCTTTGAGAAAAATCCTGACTTCGGATAGAAAAACTAAAATCGCAAAATTGTTTCGGGCATTTTGAAATTTTTTGGTTTTTGTTGCATGCTGTGTTATTAGATTATTCAGTGAAATGTGGCTGATATACATAAATACTTGAACTTCAATGCCCATTAATAAACTTATCTCCTAAATCAGTAACATTAATTAGAATGCTGGCACGTACATAAATACGTACAAATATATGTAAGTACATATGTACACGCGCTCATAATTTTATGAATGTATGTGGGTACTTTTTGTAGAAATTGTTGTCAGTGCTGATAAGAAAGTCATAAATGCTAATGCAAAGTTAGCAAAAGCTCAATCACAGGCAGTGCACGGACGTCCAGAAAAATAATAGTAGTAGATTTTACATACAAAAGATGGCACAAATTTGTAGTTTTTTTGTATCTATATTAGATAGTTTTTAAAACTGGGCCCGAATCATGGCATTCGTGATCGAATGAAACTCGATTGGAATGGAATGAAATGAAATGACAGCTGTATTCTCTCAAATACCTTTTAAATTGAAAAATCGAGCTCACAACCAAATGCCGTAATCTCTCAAACAAAACAAAAAAAAAAACAAAAGCGATTCGAATTTGATTCCATCACGAATGCAGTAATTTAGGCCCTGTATTCATTTANTTAATAGTGGTAGATTTTACATACAAAAGATGGTAGAAATTGGTAGTTTTTTTTGTATCTATATTAGATAGTTTTTAAAACTGGGCCCGAATCATGGCATTCGTGATCGAATGAAACTCGATTCGAATCGAAAGAAATAAAATGACAGCTGTATTCTCTCAAATACCTTTTAAATTGAAAAATCGAGACAACAACCATGTNAAAAAGGGGCTCAAGCTATTTTCTCCACTTAAACAAATTTTTTGACTAAAAAACTTATTGCAAACGTAAAATAACGGAAAAGATTGGTAGATTCTCAGCCTATGTTAATAAAAATGGTTGAAAANGAAAAGGGGCTCAAGCTATTATCTCCACTTAAAAAATTTTTTGACTAAAAAACTAATTGCAAACGTAAAATAACGGAAAAGATTGGTAGATTCTCAGCCTATGTTAATAAAAATGGTTGAAAATAAAATACAAATAAAAAGTTGTAAAGTCCGTGCACTGATCACAGGGCTTAATGGAAAGCAGTTACCCAGTTAACGAAAGTTTACAACATTATCGAATCTGTAATATTCCTAAAGTTTAATTAATATTTTTGCAGTTTTTCACTGGATTTTACATCAATGTAGTCGGGATTTCATTTAAAATTTTACACTACTACCTTATGTCGTGTATTTTAAGATCTTAACTACCCCTAGATGAACAAACAGATAGATTGAAAGGCTAATTAAAAACATGTGTAAATCCCTGCTTATGGTGATATAAGAAGGAAGACCTCCGATCACATTTTCTACGTGTTCCTAGAAGAAATAACCTTACCTTTAATAAACCCTTCCCTACAAAAGATCATTAAGGTTTGTTTGGCTATCTGCTCTAAGGTTAGATGGTGGAGCTCCAGTTCGAGAACTACCACAGCGCCGCTGTCGGCCATGTTGGCATCGCTCCTGTTTAGTGAGCGACTAACTCACTTTGGCTAAGGAGATTCACGAAAAATCATCACTTCTATCGAAGCGCATTTTCATCTCGGCGGCTTTGTTAACCAGCAAACCGTTATCGTTGGGAAGCCAAAGCATCCTTAGGAGGTGACAGTTTGCTGCGGATTTTAGAGCGGAAGCATCGGTGGCCCCTTTTTCTTTGAAAATGCTGCTAGAAACACCATTTCATTAAGCGGTGAACGCTACAGAGGCATGATACACGACTTTTGTGGCCAGAAATTGAAGATATGGACTTGGACGATTTTTGGTTTCAGCAAGATTGCGCGCCATACCAACCAGCCCATGTCACAATCGATATTTTACGCGCTAAGTTCGATAATCGTGAAATTAGTCATCTGGGCGCTATCGATTGGTCATTGCGGTCAATCGGAGCTGGGATTTGACGCTTTAATGCTTTTTTGTGGAGTGCCGCGAAGGAAAGATGTTATGCGAACAATCCATTACGGCTTCAGGCCCTTAAGCCGAATATCAAGCAAGCCATTCGCAAGATAGTGCTAGAAACTGTCATCGAGGTCTTGGAAAACAGGATGCGCTACTGTGGTACCGGATAAGGCAGTCACATCAATGAAATCGGGTTCCATAAATAATGGGAATGTTTACCGCTTCGAATAAACCATTAATAAGTCGAAAAATTTACTTGAGTTATTTTTTTTAACTTTTAAAAATAGACCACTATATTAGCCGTTCTTTATACAACTGTTTCAGCAACGTTTACTGTCAGTATAAATCCCAAATAATTCACTTCGCCGGTAACATTAATCCCTGACAAAGTAGCCAACCCACCAGTCTTCACAAATGCACCAAAATCTTCATGAGTTTATTTTTAGTTATTAAACAAACTGATTACATATATACAGACTATGTGATAATTTACAAGCCATTTTAGCTCGAATTTGACGATTTCGTTAACTTTTCTGGACTGGGTAAGTATATGTACAGATGTATGACAGTATTTACTTACATGTGAACATGTGTACATATATATGTATGTATGTATGTATGTATATGCATAAGTTCATTTGTCTGCACTAGGGTGGTCCAAATAGTAAAGTCGGAATTTGAATGCTCTCATCCCCTTGGTTTGTTCTATAATGAAAAAGAATATACCCCTAATTTTTTATTTAGAAATCACAAAATATTTAGAGGTCGCATAAATCGCTCAAAGTTTTCCATGTATTCTATATGAGAGAAAAAAAGAAATTTTCCTAGATATAGTTTGGAATTCTTGAAAATTTATATTTTTCGATCGGAAAACCCTGTTTCTCTTCAGGAGACTTCCAATAATAATAGCCAATTGCGCATGTAACGATTTTTTAAAACGTACTAAATATTTTTTATTAGTCCCCAATGCATTTTGTGAGGTTTTGGCGGGCCAATAAAATAGTGTTACAATGAAAAAATGGTTAGTTAAACAATTGGGTATTATTATTGGGAAGAAACAGGAACCATTTACATATAGAAAAAGTTTGTTTTCTCATATAAAATACATAAAAAGTTTGAGCGCTTAAAGCGAACACTAGATATTTTTTAATCTCACAAGAATTGGGGTAGAACAATCGTAGAGGGTGAGAGCATAAAAAATCCGGCTTTATTTTTTCTCATGAATTTTTGGCCACCCTAGTGTACACACATATAAGTAAGTAAGTGTATAAGTACATGGTGGCATATTGTATTGATAACTTACCCCACATTGATAAAAGGAATAAACCAAATGCTGTCATAATTTATAATTTTATTTTGCATGCACTTTTAATAATTCGTTTCTGTGCGATGGCATCAAATTCGCCAATTCACCAAATCACTTCGACTAATAAATTTTCTCCTGACCGAATTTATTTTTTTTAATTATTTCTCCTTTCTCTTCGATTTTCTCGGGTCGATTTGCACAGCTCGTTTGATTAATTTTACGGTAATTTTTTGTCAAAACAATTTTTGCCGGAACGTTTCATTTAATCTCCGTGGCAGCTATACAAAATCAAAGTAAACAGATTTCTTGTTGGCAAGAAATAATATTTGTTCGATTACGCGTTTTTTTTTTTGCGGATGTTGCTAACTTTTCGACTGCGATTTCTATTTGCTTTTCCGATTTTCCGGTTCGTTTTGGTGGTGGCCTGCGTTCTTCCGCCACTCGAATGTCTCAATTGATGATAGCCAGCCAACCCACTTCGACGTCCGTACGTACACTCGCTTCGAGCACCTTTGCGATGTGCGCTTAACTGTATAATCGCTATCTCCCAACTAACACCCTAACGTGCCGCACTCGAAGTCCGATGGCTGAGAGTTTTTTTTTTGCGATAAGTATACGAAAAAAAACTCGCAAAGAACACAAACATTGCGGCCAACAGCAACAGCAACAGCAACAATGGCGCGCTGTTGCCGGTCAGCGAATGGATGCAATAACAACACCAGCAATGATATTGGAGGTTACAAAAACAATAACAAGGCAACAGGTTTAGCAAAAACAACAGCCAAAGCAATAAAAACCAAAGTAAATAAACAAAGTTTAATGAAATTAAAATAAAATCACCGTAGCAAAGCTAGAGAGTTTTTTCCCAAGTGTGAGGAGCGCAGGCAGGGATGGCCCACGAATTTAGTGATGGATTTTTGTAATTAATACAGAAGCTTAATTTGAATTCAAATAAAAGAGCTTTGCTTGTTTAAGTTAACAGTTTTGCTTATTCTATGTCTCCCGCTGGGTTTCGAGGGCTCTCCGTCAAACTTTGCTACAGAAAAGAGCAACAATGAAAATACTAACAGTGAGACCTAAAAAATATACGTACAACAATCAATTAAAAATTATAAAATTGTAAATTAGGTCAAAAACAGATGAACGGTTTAATTTATAAGGCTAAATTTGCTACACAAATCCGGTTATGAAATGCTAGGGTTACGTTGTTCGATCATTCGCATTTTTTCCAAAACCGGGTTTCGAGTTTCAATAAAAAAAACCCGGTTCCCTATTTTGAAATTAAGAAAAATCCGAATAAGCCAGTTTTGTTTTGTATTGTTTTCTTACAGTGAAAATCTTATGTTGAGCCGAATATCATAATAAAATCATTAATAATAAAGTTTTTTTTTTAGAAAAGAGCAAAGTAAAATAAGTTCAAAAGTCTTAGGTATTTATATCAAAAGTAAAAGAAATAAAAATTAGTAAAAAATTCACGCTTGGTCTTATTTAAAATTTTTTTTTAATGCTTTATTGCATTTTTTCTGATTTTTTTTCTAAATTTTTGGAGTGCTCTTGCTGCCATAGCAGAAACCGGTTTATTCGTTAAAAATTTCGGTTTATTAGATATTTGATAAATCAAGGATATGAAAAAATCACTTAGCGCCAAATTCACAGTGCGTAGTTAACTCAGAATCGGCAGTTAACAAAATTTTTGTACTGAAAATGGCCCTTATAGATATAAAAAAATAAACCGGTGGAAACCAGTTTGGAAAAACCGAGTCCATCACTCCAGTTAGTGTCTCTTAATGCTTATGGCATTTCCGTTTTTTTTCAATTACCCTTAGTAAAGAACTTCTGTTTCTAACTGACTGATTTAAATAGTGTTCCCAAATGCATTCATAAATACACTACACAAAATTTAGACATAAACCTTCAGATAGTGGACTTATGTCGGTTTTCAATTTTTCTCTTTACCTTAAAAATGATGTACAAAAAATTGTTCGCTAAATTTTATTTGAAGCTTATTTATACCTACATAAGAACATACCATTATATGTAAGATAAGTCATTTCTGACAAAAAAGGGTTAACTTTAAACCACTGTAGGAAATAGTAATTAGGAGGTCCAAAATCCTCAACTATGACGCATAGACGTTGGCTTAGTCATTATTCCGTTGAGAATCTAAAATAACTTTATAATTGTTCCACAGTGCTTTCAAAAAATAAAAATAAAAATTCGGTATGCAAACATTAGGCTAGCACTGTTGAGTGCGGCGCTAATTGTCTCAATGCCATTGTTTTTGCACCCTCAAAAAATTATCTTTTGTTGTGGGTGTGCTTTTGAATAGCGGTTTATGTTTGTTTACTTCGTATGAGCATGCTTCCGCGATCAAAAACGGTTTTTTTTTTAATGTTGCCGAAGCTTTTTCTCTCACTTACAGTTATTGGTATCCAATTGTCTCTCCATTGTTGAAACGTGTTTATGCACTCTTGTGATTATTTGGCGCTCATTTCAGCGACTTTTCTGATTGCTACTACAAAATGTACATATGTATGTAATTTATCAATGTACCAATACTGCCGCGATATTGCGAGTACGATTGTTTCTTACGTATGTTTGTATATATGTAGATATATGTAGATATGTAAATTTGTGTAGATTAAAAAGATGGTAGTCAAAGAAATTGCTTGCAATAGTGATATGGAATATGGCATGTAAGATTAGAGGTTGTAACCAAATTTTTTTTGTCGAGTATTGAAAATTTTAAATATGACGCCATTGTTTTATCATCAATCGTTTACATAAGTAGATATGTTTGTGTCTTTTCCTATCTTTGAATCGATTTTTAATCCTGTTGTAAATGTGTTATAATTACGCATTTGACTTGGATACTCACGCTTGAGTGCGATCAGAGTTTTATCAACACCTTCTCAAGTGTATGGCTGGCTAGTCGTACCGTTAGGAAGCAAGCATAAAAATACTTCGTGCAATCAATTAAAGTGGCATTGAAAGAAAGACCACTGGCGTGAGATAAGTGGAATGTTTTTCTTTTTTTTTGTACATAAACCATTAATATTTTGAACTGATTTATTAGACCATTTGCATAGTATTACTTTAATAATTTATGAGGGAATTGGGCTTTACTACTTCTATTGTTTTTTACCAAGTGCATACGTACGTTCGTTAGTTACGGCTTTTTTGCATTCAGAGGCGCTGTACGATAGGGCTGCTCTATATTAGGGTAACGATAAGCATCTTTCACAATAAAAAATAAGTCGCTACTGTTATTCCATTAGAATTGTAAAATCTTTTTTGTTTTTTTTTTTAAATCAAATTGGTTGAGACTTTTTCCAATTCTATCAACGCAATCATAATAACGAGATTTTTGGAGGTAATTTTAAATCGGTCCAGCTCATATAAATCTCAATATTTTTGCGAAACATTTTGGCGGAAGTCTTACAGCATAATAAATATAACTCTGGTGAAAAAACCTAAATTTTTTTTTGGTGAGGCAACTTATTTACATACATATATGTACATATGTATCTAAGTATGCAGTTAGTTAGAAGTCTTCTGTATTTTAAAAACGTCAATCAAACAAAAGCAAAAATGAGGTATATTTATTTAAAATACTCTTTTGTATGCAGCTTTTTTTCCGCTTATCAGTTGAAAAAGTGGTAAGTAGACCACGAAGAGTTCTTACTTTGCTTTGCATTAATGTGATGGAATTTTGTGTTGGTACTTTTTCAATTGATATGAAAAGGGGATTTTTTCAAAAGCCAACAAAAAAAAAAAATTTTTGGTTTTACTAGTGTGCCACTTTTTCACATTGCACTTTCATGCTTAACTGGAAACACGCGAGTAGTAGATTCGCTGGAAATTTCGATAAACTGCAGCCATGTCAAAATCATAACCGACAAATTTTTTTGCTGTTTTTCGTAGTATTTGTGTTCCGTAGTTTGAGTTCAAAGAAAAATCTCATCATGGCGATGCTGTTTCATTTAAATGTAAAAAAAACACCACAAAAGTGGTTGCATTTTCGGGGAAACACCCAGCATATGGACTTGATCACGAATGCTTTAATAAAAAGAAAGACATTATTGGACTTTTGTTTCTCGTATTGCTTCCGTAAATTAAAATTGTTTACATTACACTCGTTCGAAAACTAGCAACTGAGTTTTCTAAAATGTATCCTCAGACTCTACATTTTGGGGGTTTCTAAGGTTTTGAGTGAAGCCCTACAAATTTCAAAATTATAACGGAATGTTGAAAATTTCGTGCTATTAAAACAAAAAAGTCATGTGCAAACCGGGTATTATTTGATGATCAAGATTCTCTTTTAAATTTAATATCCATCGGTTTGCTTTCGTGAAACTAGCTATTAATGGCACACAATATTCCTGTTTTTATGTTAATAAAAAATGCTCCTAACTTTGCTTCCACACTAAGTTTGACACTCAATTATTTCAATTTAATGACCAGTGGCAATTCGGTAATATTCCGAATCGGTGTAAGTCTTTTACTGTGCATTTTCATATTTTTAGTTTAAATTCAACGCTTGTAATAAACGCTGGACTGTAGTATTTGGTACTGAAACTGGATAAGCAATTCTAAACGCATTTGACACAGTATACATACACATACACATACACAGAATCTGTGTGAACATTTTCAATTAAACCCAAGTCTCAAATAAAATTAAAAACAAGAGACTGAAAAAAATAATATTTTGGAAAAATTTGCTATTCTTTTAATTCTTGTACAAAGTTCGAAATTTGGCGAAACTTTCATAAAAAAATAAACATAAAATAAAAGAAAAAAGCCTGTTAAAAGGTCCCTACCGAAAATCCGCTTTTTTAGAATTTTGATTGGTAATAGCAAAAATCTTGTTCACTGTGCTCTAAAAGCAATCTGTGTGAAATATGACAATTTTTGATCAATATCTTAGGCCCGCCCAAGGCCATCAAAGTTTAATATGGCCAAAAAATAAAAATTAATAAATAAATTAAGTAATAAATTTTTTTACTAAAATTGCAATAATCTTCTAAAGTATTAGTCCTACATAATTTGGTATATGCACCTTTTTTTGTAGAGAATCGAAGTTAGCTAAGAATTTTGTTTTTTTAGTATTGAACTTTGATGGACTTGGGCGAGCCTAAGATATGGACCAAAAATTTTTAACATTGCACATAGATATTTTTTAGAGCATAATGAACGATATTTTTGCTATTACCAATCAAAATTCTAAAAAAGCGGATTTTCGGCCCACGCTAATATTTATGTACTGGCTCAGAACGTTGCACAGTGAGATTGCAGCGGAAAAAATTAAGTTTTTTGAACATGCAATTCTTATATTTGCTTTAGACTTATAAAGCAATATCTGAATAAGAAAAATTCGTTATAACCTTACGGAGTTGACAATAAAAATGAAAATAAAAATAACAGAAGTCAGTAGAATTTTATTTAACTAAAATTTATTGCGACTTTTATTCAACTGAGCAATGTGTTTTTCTAATAACTTTTCGATTTTTGAAAAAAAAACTGGGCTCATAATTGCGACTTTTAAGGCGTTTTTGAGGTTAAGTTTGCATAGGAGGTATGTGTTAAAATAAACGGATTACTCCATTTTTTTTTTTGTTTTTTGTTATAATATTAATGCTAACATATGCGCAAAATTTCGGAATGATATGTTAATAGGTACGCTTTTTCAATCTCTCACGCCAAATTCTGTTTTTTTTCCTTTGCTTATTTTTGTCCATAAATGTTGCGTACGGAAAATTGTGATTCTACACAGTGGTCTTGAAGCAACCATAGCTATGACTAAAATGCCAACCAAAACGGCTTACATAACTGTCTTTGTACATAATCATAGATCAAAATTTCGTTGAAAATAAAATTCCATCTGCTCCTATGCTTAAAATATTATAAAATGTTGATCTAGAACTTTCCAAATCCAGTTATATAATCGCGAAGGTCTATGNCTGTGCGCTGTGACTCCTTATCGGTATCGGCGAAGGTACTTATACGTACAACATTCAAAGGGCCGGTACTTATAACATAATGAATGTTTCTGCCTATTAATTTAGCTCGCGAATGCCCTCAGACTGGCAGGGACACCATTGGCCCATTAGTTGTCCATCTTGGCGATTTCAAAATAAGGTATAAGCATATCTGGAAATTAGTATTTAGATTTCGTAAAAATAGCGCACCATGCTAGAGTACTAAGTGAAAATCATTTTTTAAGAAGTACATACCTAACTCTTGGGCTAGACGAATTTACTACTGGGTATTCATATGACATGCATGAGGGCATGCATTCTATTATTAAATTTTTACGTACTTTAAATGCCACTCATAATTTATAGTCGAGTAGTATTATTCAGTCTATTGCCGGGACTCCCCCTTTGATTTCAATTCTAGTACTTAACCTTCTTATCATTCAAGCAGACCACTCCAAAAGCTGTACGACTTCATTAAGCCCTGGTACAAGAATATAAATAACGATGATAACAATATAAAGATAACAATACACAATCGACTCAAAATTTGCTTTAGAAATTGCGGGAACCATACATTTGCTGTTTGGTTTTTTTTTGGCACAAATACAAGTACTTACATACAAATGTACACACAAATATGTTTGAACAATAAATACTTCTCGAATAATTTAATAGAAATAAGCTACAACAAAAAAATTTTAAATACTAATGAAAAAACTAAACCCTCCCTTAATCGTTCACTTTGCCTGCTCCCAATGCGGCCACTGCTTCACAGCCGCATAGAGTGCATCACCCGGACATAAAGTGTTGCGCACCTGCCGATGGCCATGCAAAATGTAATCCTCACGCAAATGACCAGCCTCCACCGAGTATTTAATAAAGTCCTGTGCGACTTGTTGCATTGGCGCTGGCGGCTGTTCCTCTACAACAAACCAAAAAAAAATAATAATGAACACTCTGTATCTATCGTTGTCATGTCATTGTCATTTATGCATCCACTCCACGCACTCCGCGCCACCATAACTCACCCATGAAATTACCAATTAAGAGCAGACCAATGCTGCGGCTATTGTAGTTTGGTGCGTGCGCACCGACCACCTCGTAACCGCGACCCTCGTACACATTGCCATCGCCGCCAACGGCGAAGCTGTACCCAATGTCCGACCAGCCTTGCTTGTCCATATGGAAGTTCTGCATGGAACGCATCGCTGCTTTGCAGGCGTCTTCCGTCCGGCAAACGCCCGGCTGATAGGAGTGATGCAGGATAACGTATGGCGCGGGTCCGCTGAAATGAACAACCTTGTTGGGGGCGCGTGCGGCCCATTCGGCGCGCGTGATTAGCCGCCAGTCACGCGTGTGTCCTAATATTTGGTTGCTTGGTACCTCTGCATCGGTGTTATCCGTGCTCTGCTTCCTGTCGTAGCTGCTAGGTATGGCACCAGCTTCGCTCGTCTCGATCGCTAATTGAATGCAAAGCGAAGGGAGTGAGTGGTGGCGGGGAAAGCATGAAAAAGCAAACATTTGTGGTTAGTGGTTATTTGGAGCAAACAGGCAGACATGCATTTCGGCTCATAACAATACGCCTGCCAGCTTTCGAATGCGGCTTGTACTAATGCCATGCTGCACACACACACACACACACATGCTCATAAATATACGTACATACATATCTATTCGCACCCGTTTGATAGAAGAAAATTAGAAATTTCGCAATTTGCATTGTTAGCGAACGCAATTTAACTGGCAATTAACTCACAAGTAAACATGGCCAACAGCAAGCCAGCCCACAACAGCAGTCTGTGCATCGAAGTGGTGCGTCCGGCGGGTGCGGTCCCCCTCCTGCTTGTGTCAACCATTTTCAACAAAACTAAATAATGAAATAATGAAATTTTCAGCGCTTTTTGGTCGGTTTGTTGTAGCTGCCTGTTTCCCGTTTCCGTGTAATGTTTTTCAACTTGCACCGATTCACGTACCCAATATTGACTATGTATTTGTTGTTTCGCTCTAGTTGTTGCTTTTATGTAATTCTATCCTCCTACTTGTTGTTGTATTATTGCTTTGCTATTCCGCTGAAAAACCGGCTGTGGTCATGTCCGCTTTTAATTGATAACTGAGCGCAGCTTTCCGATCACCAATTAAAAACTTCAGTATGCCCGACTGTTGTCCGTTGTTGTTGTTGTAGAGGCAATGCATAGGAAATGTTTACATGTGCCACATTACTGTTGCTTCTCTCCTTCGCTCCCCCTGAAACTTCCCCTTTAGTCCGGTTTTTCTTTTTGCGCGTGGCTTTGTTGTTTGATGGCTGAGACTTTTGCCGCTTGATCGCTAAATCGTTTCGAACTTCTTAATCTGTTTTAATCACGCTCGCTCTCAGCTTCGACATGCGTTTGCTGTTTGTACTTCGCTCTTTGCTTCTTAGCAGCGCTGAGTGATTCTCACAAAGGTCAGTCGGGCCAGCATGTAAATAAGTTAACATACATATATTTGTTTTTCTTTTTTATTATTATTATTTTTTTTTTGTTTCTGTTCACCAAATTTTCGGGAATTTTCTTCATTTTTACGTTCTAGTGAATAATATACAACAAAGCTCGCACTTAACTCACTGATATTCATCAGAGGAACTTTGGCCATTGCACCACTCAACGATATGTCTACAGCGGCGAGGGGCACCGCCTTGCCCGCGGGTAAAGCTCCCTTAAGCTCTCCATACATTTTGTATAGTCACGTGCAGAGTAAAAGCTCTCTCTGCCCATCGCTGGTCTACAGGTTTGATTATAAATTGAGGATAAATATGAGGCGCGGTGCCAATGCTACTAAGAAACTCTTCTGCTGGCTGAAGATATCACATAAAGCGCCATAACAAATAACTCAAAGACCAAGCTCCGTGATAATGAATTCCCAAGCCCGCTTAGATCAAAGCTTAATAAGTGGGCAATTTTGGGCTAAACTAACTTTTATGTCTGGCCTTTTAAGGAAACACTGGGCTATTATGCATATTTCTGTATCAGTCCAATGATTGCAAGTTTGAAAATTCTATTAGAAGTACAAGCGATTGCCAAACTCGCGGCCCCGCACCACCTCCGCCATTTACTCACTCTGCTACTTTAAGTATAGAAAAAATCCATTTTTATTTTTAGTTGTTCTTCGGATGCAGGCCGGTCACAGTCTTTTGGATTGAAGCCGTAAATTTTCTGCTTGTTCCAGGAAGACTTACCGTCCAAGCTGCTCCGTGTCCCACAAGGAAAATTAAAAAGTCGATGGTCTCCTGTATTATGTTACCATGCCTGAAAAGAGCTTCGATCCACGCGGATGGCATGGTCAACCTAATCACAGGTAGGTTTGAAGGCACAACCTCTAACCTCTATAATAATTCGCTATACGTAGTCGCAAAATATTTAGGAAAAAATTATTAACATACTTATGTAAATGTAAACTCTAAAAAGGCTATTACAGTTATTTTCTACAGAAAGCAGGAAAGGGACTAACTGTAAAAACCTTTTCTCCAAGGCGAAAAGGTACACTTCTCTGAACAAGTTAAGTACCTTGGTGTTAGTTATTCCCAGCCAAAGCAGGCCAAGCTCAGATATATCCAATGACTTGCCTGCCTGGCCATCTTTGCTGCAATGATAATAACGCGAACCGCGGCTTTCAAGGCACTTCTAGTTTTGTGGATGTATGTAGGCTTTCAGAGGGTTAGCTTCGGACGTATCTAACTTCAAGGAAATTGTTTACTAATATAACGAATTACAGTAATTCAGCGAACTGCCATGCAGCTCCAGTACTCAAAACAGTTATATCCGGATGAAAAGGGAAGCACAGAATTAGAGGGCAAATAGGAAAGCTAACAGACAGAGCGAATGTTTCGTGTCATAAATACATATCAGCAAGGATACTTCGCGGTACATGGATCAAAGAGGACCTGTAACCAAGTAGAAGTCTGCTATGTTAGATCGTCCTTGTTTGCGATAACCGTATCACCTGCTTTGATCCCTCCTCCAACTAAATATAGACGGCTATCAATTTGTTATTTGGCGCTAAAAATAAAAAGGGTATTCTTCCGACAACTTTAAAACAAAAATCTGTATGACTGTGCTTTGAAAGTTATTTATATCGTAAATTAAAATTTGTGCTATTAACTTTAGCATTGTCTATAATACTGCGAGGTGACAAATAACTCCTTCTATTTACTACTTTCTATGGCTTCACGGTCAAAGGCACATCCACAGTTGCGCCTGCCTGGACTGGCAGATAAGCCACAACCCCCACATCACTTTGCCAATGCGGCCAATTTTGTATCTCCGAAAAAAGGACATCGCCCGGACAATCCGTGCCATATCTCACCTGCCGATGGCCATACAAAATGTAGTCCTCATGCAAGTGTCCGCCTTCGATTGAATAATTAATAAAATCCTGTGCCACCGCCATCATCGGCGCCGGTGGCAGCTGGGCTGTAAAATTCATAAAATTGATTGTGCACCTTCAATTCAAGATCGTCGTCGTCGTCGTCGTCGTCGTCGTTGTTGCAATCATTGACCCTTACCTGTAAAATCGCCAATTAACAGCAATCCAATGCTACGATTATTGTAGAGTGGCGCGTGTGCTCCGACCATTTCGTAGCCGCGCCCCTCGTACACATTGCCATCACCACAGATGGCAAAACTGTAGCCAATGTCCGCCCAATGGCGGTCATTCATGTGGAAGTCCTGTATCTGTTGCATGGCAGCACGGCAATCATCTGCCGTCAGAGCAATGCCTGGTTCGTATGAGTGGTGAATGATAAGAAAAGGTGCCGGCCTTGCAAAGCGTTTGCGCTCCATGGGCGGACGTGCGCTCCACTCGTGGCGCGCTATAAACTTCCAATGTCCGTCGTCGGTAGTCTGCATGGGGGCTGCAAGTAGAAATATACATACATACGAATGCTTACATATTTAGTACATGCAGGCAATTCCATCCAGTACTTTTTTTCCTATCACACTTATGTATGTACATACCTGCCGAGCTGCCAAAGTGTCGATTGAAGAGGCTTTTACATGAAAGTGCCAACAGAAGTTTCAGTAAAGTGTTGGAGGTGTTCATGATTGCTGCTGCTTCTTGTTCGCTTTGCACTTACATAAGTACTTAGATAAATTTCAATACATTTTTTATGTTTATGTTTGCTTTTGTCGCTTTTGTGGATCTACCTGCTGCTGTTTATAAATCTGACTTTCTCCAAAATATGGCTGACTAACCGCCACTGCATTAGAGACAAGGTCGCTCCATATGATGGCTGTGCTGAGCTGCTGAGGGCGGCTAAAGTGAGGTGCGAACGAAAATTGCGTCAGCTTTTATACGTTAATATCTTTCACAATTATTTGCTGCTACAATAACATACAAAGTATGGTTCAGTTAGAGTTTTTTACTAATTCGCTCTTCCTGCGCTCTCAAATTAGGCAGCAAGCTGTTGGGGGATTTTTGTTAGCACAAGTTTTTCATTTATGGAAGTTGCTTGTTTTTGCTATGTCAATCGTTATGGTGAAATATTTAAAAAAGTCGAATTAGGCCACTTCTCACAAATGTGGCTTTGTTTGGGTATTATTTGTTTTGTTTAAGTTTGGTAGTATAAATAGTGACGCTTGGCGGAATGCTAAGAGCTCGGCATAACAAAGTACCCGGACGTTTTTGACGATTTTATACATTTATATTTTCCATACCAAATTTTTCTTATTTTTTTATAAAAGTAGATATTGTTCATTCGACAACAAAAGCCAAAAAAATCAATTCTTTTTGATTTCATACAGAACTCGGGGAAAAATTCAAGAAATAGCAAGATGCTTTCATCGAAATTTGCAGTTTTTCCAATCGATTTCTTAAAAAAACAATTCGAGTAAATGGACAAGTTTAAACTTGATTTTTAAGAATTTTTTCGTTGAGGCTGTTGCGAACTTTCTTTCGTATAAAAAAAGATTGCGCTCATACTTGAAACTTGCATTTATTATACTAAAATTTAATGGGTTACTCAAACATTTTCTAAGAAATCCAATTGAAAAGTTAAAACTTTCACATCACAAATTAGATGCAAAAGCTTAGTTCCACACTTAACAAAAATGAAAACAACAAATATTTTTTTGAGCTGTTCTCCAATCAGTCAACATTAGAATGGGAATGGCAAGAATTTATCTACAATGGAATCACAAATAAAATAAAAGCGATTTTAAAGGCACCCTCTTGCAGTTAAGGTCCTGAAAATTGACCGCCGGAAATTTTCACATTCGAGTCTCAGTTTGTTTTCAATCAAACAGCTCCACCCGCAATGCGATTTCATCTACCAAATCATTTCGTACTGCTGCCGAAGAGGTCGTTTCCTGCTATGACAAAATTGTTCCCTACGGCGCCATGTCTAAATTTGGCTTCTCACAGGATTTACACAGCTATGTATCTCTACTGACTGACGTTCAAATTGGGAAGAACCACTCCAAGCCATTCGAGACCAAACGAGCTTTTAGAAAAAGCGACATATTTTCGTGCGACTTTTTTTTAATCTGAAGTGAGTCCCCCAGTTCTGTATACAGCGTAAAACTCTGTCGCAACAAAAAAAAGACTTTGTAAACAAATGCTCAACAATGTCAATACTATTAAGTAAATAAAGTTATAAACGCACATAGATAAATCGCGTGCAGTAGGTAGATATGTATATTAAGTCTTTGATATCTGCTACTAAAAACCCCCTTTTCTAACAAATCGAACGCTATTACCACAGACTTAAAAATGTTACTTACAGCTAAATTATGCGCCAATCGTTTAAATATTAGCGAGTGCCACTGAAAAATTGTGAACAACTAAAACAAATCCAAAAGATAGCTGAACAACGCCCACAAAGCAGCGTAAACGCCAACTTGAAGAAGATAGTCTTTAGCGCGAATCAAGAAATGTCGCGAAGATTAAGTGAGACTTGCCAACCAGCTTAGGTAAAAGCAAACACAAGTACTGACATACAGATTTACATATTAGAGCAACTGGTAAATGCATAATACCTACTAGGTAAGTAAGTAAGGTATTTTTTGTGGTGGAGCGTGGTTTTACGCTTTCGGTATTCTACGGGGATTACCCGAATCGCATCACAAAAATGTTCAGCAGTGTAGAGCCACAAAACCGTTATTGGTTTTAGTGGAGCTTTTGCCGGCATACCTGCGTTAGCTACATTACCTGGCCTCCTGTCGGTTTCTTGGCCATGAACGCCTTGTCGCCATGGCTGCCAACTATACTTAGCTATGGAGTGCCATATTGAGGATGAAAAAGTGCCAAAATGTGCCAAATAGAAAAATGAAATTGCCAAAAAAGGTGCAATTCTCTTTTTAATTCTCCCCATTTGGCATTAAAACTACACTGAGGGAAATAATGCATAGTAAAAATGAATACTTTATATTTAATTATCGTTTAAAAATGTTCGTATTTAAAAATAATATTTTCATACAAAATTTATTACGCACGTATTTGATTGATCACATCTGAGTATGTATATGTAAGTGTACATAAGCACCCCAAGCATGCAGAGCGCCGCTCTGAGAGCGGCGACAACAAACACATACATACATAGTACAAATCGCGTGCTGTGGTGTTGATGGATATTCAACATTTGAAAGCAAATTTATATGTTTGGGTTTAGCTGAGTGCGCAAAGATGCTTGCCACAAGTTGTTGATATCCGGAGATGGTCGGGTTCGAATTCCAATGCAGGCAACATGCAAATTAATATTTTTTTTGTAGTTTTTGTTTTGATTATTCACTTCGCGGATGCTTTTTCAGTATGAACGCGGTCATTTTAATATGCGCGTAATTGAATTGAATATTTACCAATATACAGTACTTTCGTTGACGTTTATAGTAAGATCAATTACGTTTCTATTTGATTTTAATATTTTTTTCCCTCAGTGTATGAACACATTTCTAAAACAAAAGTCCAATACCAAATTAATATAAATCAGTTGTATACAATATAGAAATTAGAAAATTTTAGTTGAGAAAAACAAGTACACGCAATGGATTTCACAAAAATATATTAAAATATTAGTATTTATTTTTTAAAAGTGCCATTTTGGAACTTTGTGCCGAATTGAAAAAGTAAGTGCCATTTGAAGTAAAAGAGGGCCAAAATGGCACAGTTTGAGCCAAGATGGCAGCCCTGCTTGTCGCCCACAATTACCGAGCGTATTACAAGCGTATTCTTTGCGGTTTCTCACTCGCTAATGATGCGGAAATGCAACGATGCATTTTTTGTGGGATGCGGTGGGAGGCAAATGAGTGAAGCTTGAACCGATGACAACGTTAGCATGGAAGTGATAGTAAATGATATTCAAAGTTAATGAAGTGGAAACAACTAAGAGCGCTTTATGCACTAAATTATGTAATTAGCTTGAAATTGTTGCTCATAAAAGATTATTTTACTTGTTGTGCATAGATTTATTTAGAAGTGTGTAAGAAGGTAACAGTAGTAAACTTTCTTAGGTCACGAAAAAATTATGTTCTACCATTCGAGAGTGTTCTGAAAGTACTTTCGAGAAGTTGGAACGACACTACTTTTTAATCCACAAAATCTAAAAAATAAATTTTATTTAATAGTCTATGATCGAAATCAATTTTGCAAAGATAACATATTCACATTTGCGCATTGATTTTAATTGCGAATATAGCTAAAGGTTTTTCTGAAAGAACTTTGCAGCGCTGTGTAAAAACGGCTCCGCAAATACCCATATTAATGACCGCGTAATTATATAAATTATTTATTGATTTATGTGCACTCCTATAAATTACCAAAGGGGAATTTTTCAACGCAGTCGTCACAAAAAAAAAAAAAACATTTAAAAAGTAGAAAAAATTAAAACAACTTATACCGACCCTGATGGAAACAAGTGATTTTTTTTAAATCAACTAATTGAAAGAGTACTTCAAAACAAATGCAATGAGTAAATCGTTCGAATTTTTTTACTCTGTTTGTCTAAAAAAAAAAAAAAAACAATTTGTGTCTTGGAAGTATGAAAAAGCATCTGTGAAGTCCAGAGCGCAAGCGTATTCAAAAGAAACACACTGACTTTGAAGTTGTGTAAACCAAATTAATTTTAGAGGAGTTGAAATTAAATGCACAGTCTGACAAACTGAACATTTGAAAGCACATTTACATGTCTGGCTGTAGTTGAGCGTGCAAAGATGTTTGCTACAATTGGTCGCAGCCAAGAAAGTCCATGTTCCAATCTCAGTTAATTTTAAATTTTTAATTTCGGTTTTTCTTAGTTATTAAAAAGCATCTGTGAATTGCAGAACGAAAGCGTATTCAAAGGAAACATAATGGATTTGAAGTTGTTTACGCCAAATTCATTTTAAAGTGGTTGAAAATACATGCAGGAAAAGGCAATTGACTGAGTTGGTTACAGGTAGCATAGTGAGAATTTCAATTATTTAGTTGTCGTCGAAAATAAAGTAGTTTATAAATTACTTTCAAAGTAATTCAATTTCCTGCAGGGGAGTATCTGCAGGCAATTATTTGCAAATTTCGTTGAACGCAATGTAAATAAAGTGTCTGAAAAACCGTTAAAACAGCTGCATTTTAATACAAATTTAATGATAATGCTGTTTTTTTGCCTTATCACATAGAAAAAGATATGCGGTTAAATTGCCTTTGTTGAAAGCTCTCTACACAAGGCTAAGAATATTAGAATAATTTACGTTTGTTTAGCAAAATATCCCACACGGTTTTCAAAAGTGTATTAGTTATTCGGCCTTATCCTGAGTTTCGCCCGAAAAAAAAAAATTCGTCCGGAAAAAAAATTCACCCGAAAATTGTTCATCCGCCTATAGTGAATACACGAAAACCAAAAGTGAAAAGTGAACCGGTTCGGGGAAAACGAAACTCATAATAAGGCTGATTCTATCAAAGTAGTAATTTTTGTAATTTGGTGCAAAAAAACATAAAAAATCTAGCTTTCCCACTTAATTATCAAGAGTTTAGAAATATTTGTTTTGTGTTTTCTGCCAGTATATTTATGTATGTATGTAAGTTTAGACGTCTTCAGTTTACTGAAACGTTTTAAAAATCACCTTTCTCTTAGAATCTGTTGTTTATTTCCAATAATGTAAACAACAGATGAAAATTCCCCCTACACGCGTCAAGAGTGCCTTCACACACACTTCGACACACACACATCAGTATCAAAAGAAATGGCCAACAACAACAAAGCGTTACTTATTGGCACATCTATGCCATAGTTTGACTTTTCTTTTGGGATTTTTTTGGCAATAAATTAACGAATTA